TAGATGTATTGTCAAGCGAAAAAACAAAAAGGAAAATAAAATTGAACCCGGTTTTGTGTTCTACGGACAAGGGGCTAATATATATAATTGGGGGGGGGGGGGGGAATCAAAAGATCCACATTGACAGGCGTGTGGGATTTCGAAGCACAGCAGGTTAGTAGATTACCTTTAAAGTAGGGCCCCGGACGGTGGGTCCTACGGTTTGTGTGTCGGTGGGGAAAGTTTGCTGCTGCTAGCGCTCAGAGAGATTCCAACGCAGGGAACGCTTCAGCGTGCCCTACCATGTCTCGCGCCCTGTAACATTAAGCAATATAGCTAAGGTGCAATGTGGTAGATAAAAATCGTGAATTAAATGGCAAAATAAAAATCACAGGAAGATCTATTGGTTGATCCCTGGGGAATTCATCAGCATGACGTTTGGGAAACGCCAAACACGTCTCCCTTTGGGAAACGCTAACGCTGACCCCTTTACTTTTTTGTGTTTGCTTTTTCAATTTTTCCCTGCCTCTTTTTGGCTTCGTTGGGGAGTCAGTGTGAGCATTCCCCCCAAAAGGGCGGAGAGGGACTTTGTGAGGCCTTTTCCGAGGGTCATGTAACGCATTCCCTAAAAATCCACCAATGGATCTCTTTTTCTTTCGTCGCCTACTTAGATTAGCGCCAGTACTTGGTTCACACTTCATTTGATAGCGCAAACCAAGGCATACGCGCTCCGCACACACGCAAGCTCAGACTCGCCGCACCATCCGCGCTCCAATTGGCTTCCGCCCCGTGACGTCGCCTCCCTCTCGCCTTTGTCCTTCACTTCGCTTCTCCTCTCTACGAGGCGCCCTTCCCTTTTTACGGCTTTGTCCACAGACGGACGCCGTCAGCTTTTCCCTGTCATGTGGGTACTAAGGCTAACGCATTAATAGAAACACGATCTATCACATTGCGTTCTGTCGAGCTATGTTAATGCTTCCTATCGAATCTTGTCGGAGTCTGATTTCTTTCTGGAAGAAAAGAAATCGTATGCCTTTTTGTCTGGTGTTGTTATTGTAACAACCTGGTACACAGCAGGTGAAGCCATCCATTGTAAACCGTTGGCAGAAACCATATCAAAAGTTCCTTGCTAACCCAAAAACTTCCAAATCCCGAGCATACAACGCGCGCTGACACGACCGGAGTATGGATGAGTACAGGCACGAGAATGGCACCACGACAGCGGTGGCGTCGCGCAACTCTTGGTGAAATATTTCTCTATGACGGACGCTTATAGACCTTTGAATCGCTTATCACCCGGGGGGAAATGCTGAGTGAATGGAGAGTTTTAGTATTGCGTATAGGAGCAAACGCAAGCCCCTAAGTTAACGTTAACGATGCGTCCTCCAGACTGCGCATGCGCCATGCGTACAAACTGCAGCGAGCTATGCGTACGTACGCTCGCTAACGATTTTTCCGAGCGTACGTAGCAATCCCCTGCGTGCCATTCTCGTTGCTCTCGTCGCGCACGGGAGAGCGCGAGACTACTCTAGTTTGAAAAATGGCGGCGGTTAGGCAAACCAGTCCAAGTGCTACGCTCGTTGTAAGGGTTCACTTTACCATTGAAGATGACGTCAACCTTGTGGAAGAAAGAGAATGAAGAAGAAGGGAAAAGGGCGAGGCTCGTGGCGGGCGAAGACACGCGGAGTTCGGAGCTGGAGACAGGCGAAAAGGCCGGTGCCGAGTAAGGCCTCCGGTAGAAAACCCGGACCACTAGACAGCCTTGGCCCTCCTCTTTATTGGACTCTGAACTTCAGTACAAATTAAACTTGTTCCCAATGGCAGCGCTTCCCCGGGTGACTTCCTCGGAGTGAGTGGAACTCGGCCTGCTCGGGCGGTACTGACAAGCGACCCACAACCTCCTCAAAGAAATCAACGCAACGGATCCTTTCGAGCGCCCACGAAGATCGGTGTCAACAGCCAAGAACTTTGGCGACGCCGTCGAACCCAAAAAGGTGTTTACCGTGCAGTCGGTGCGCGAGCGGTGCAACTTATTTCTTGCATACTTCCAAGCAAATGACGAGGCAAACATAAGTATATATGGGTCTCACAACCAACTGGAGCGAACGATAGATCGAACTGCTGGTCGCACAGTCCTAAAGAAAGACAAAACGCGGTCACAAGAGGCCACTGGAAAGAGATTTAGGCCCTTCGTAGCAAAGCGAGGAGATTCGCGGTGTTGGATTGGCTTGACCGAATTCCCACCTTAGATTGTTTGAAGCAGTTTGCAGGAGCACATCTAGATGGCGCTGCCAGTCTTTACGTATGCGTTTGCCTTCCAGTATACTAAAAGTGCGCGTTCAACGCGCTCCGTAACGTTCCGTCACGTTCCGTCGACAGCTTGCGTGCATCGTACGCAGTGCTGGCGAAGGGTTTTTACGTTATTCTAAAACTCTCTATAGATCTGTCGACGTATGCGCAGTGTCTGATGTACCGCACAGTTGGGCAACAGCGCATGCTCAGAAGGCGTTCCACAGCTCATCAAACAAAGATGGCGGCGTGCAGATGGCGATTTTCGCAAAGGTCTATAGACCCGTTTCGATATACTGCCATCTGTTGGTAACTGTGGAATCTCTGCACAATAGTGGACTAAGACCGCAACGTCATTGCGCACTTCATGAGTTTGATTGGATTAAAAGGCAAAACACAACCACAGAACAACAAAAAAAGGCGATGAACGCATTGACGTTGCACTTTCGAAGCGGATTGATTGGCTCGTTGACTCCTAGCCTTGTCGCGCTCCGACGTTCGCTATCTTATGCAATGAAGTGCACGTTTCACGAAGTCAGTAGTTTCGTTATGGTAGAGTGAATCCGTTTTCTAATAATCGACACCTGACTTTCGAAAGTGGTTTATTGCGGAGAAAGCGCAGTGGTAACCGAGCTTTCGTTTGCACGTCAAAAGAGCCTGAGGTGGTCCAAATTAATTGTCAGTCTTCCGCTGGGCCGTGCCAGATACCCGTCGTTGGTTTGGCACGCAAAACCCCTAATTTGACTTTTTTTTTGCTTGAGGGGTATCGCTGCATTGAACCCAGGAAGAGGCAGGAAAGTTAGACGCACAAGAAACAAACAGCATTGCTTGATGCTGCATGGTTGGAGCAATGACAACAGTGCTGCATGATTATAACTTTCAAACATTGAAAACATACAGATATATATACCACCCAGACGTCCTACCTGTTTGGATTGTTCGCTGTCTTGTTTTCTTTTATTAATTAAAGGTTTTAATATATAATCGTAATTAATCTGAGTGCCAAATATTCTTCCGCAGAGAATATGTGACTGATCCATCAGTAATACGAAATGAGGATGGACAAAAACAGGAGACGGGACACTGCGCAGCTCGAGAGAAGCGTTCAAAACAGGGTAAACTAAAAAGGAAGCCTGCGCCGTGTGTCGTTTCCCCTGTTATTTGTTCCACGTTGTTTCGTGCATTGTCACTGCTAAGCGCAATCAGACTCTTACAACCCCCTTTCCTGATGCGTGGTTGGCATTTTAGCTTAGTAACAGGCACAGTATTGAACAACTACAGCAATTATTCTTCCATTTGGCAGATTTGATATTTGACGGTTGATCCAGAAGTTGGTAAACAATGGCCTTTCTGCCTAAATATTTCTACGCGACATTTGTGCACATAGGCATCTACGCAGAAAAGCATACATAGTAGCAAATGCATTAAAATACGCCTACTTGCATTCCCTACTGTACATGCTTCACTAGCTCTGGTGCCTAGTAGCACAGATGTCGCGTGGCAATATATCAGCAGTTAGAACATATTTTGCCTATTGCCTGTTTTAACTTCAAATATTGCATGTAATAATTGCAAAATTGAGAAACGAGAGAAAATATAAAACTAGGTAACTAAACCAGAGAAAATGTTTTCTTGGGCTTTTACAGCGATTCACCGAAGAAAGGGTAAAAGCACAGGCGAGCTGGTAAAGAACTTCCATCGTAAACCGGAGACACGGAAAAATAAAAAAAAACGGACAAAACAACAACAAGTGATTGCTCTCACGGAACTTGTAAGTTGGTAGAAATTATCGTTCCTCTTATTTTTTCTCTACTAGACTTAACGAATTTTGTTATTTTACATAAATGTTTTGTGCTGAGATATTACTGTGATTGGTTTAACAGAACTTGTGATTTGACATAAGTTTTCTCTGCTGGGATTGTTCTGTAACTGCTTTCACATAACTTGTGATTTTACATAAATCTTCTTTTAGCGAAAAACAACATATACATTAAATAACAAAACAAAAAGAGCTTTAGTGGAGTTTTCTGGCAAGGGAGCTGCCAGACAATCGCTGTTTTTTTTACACAACGTTTTTTTTTTTACTTTGGACGATGGCTTTCCGTTTTTTCTTGGTGGTGTCCGGCCTTTCCGCGCTGTGTGTGGTGTGGGCCGAAGCTCATGGGTTCGCTCGGTTCTCGGGTGTATCCTCTGGGGCCTCTGGGCACTCTCGAGTTTGCTTTTGCGTCCTACACGGTTGTTCAGCACAATGCTGCTCGAGCCTCTCTAGGAGTCCATTCTTTCGCCGGAGTGCCCGAGTGTGCAGTCTATTCGCAGTGATATGTTCATTTCGTGGAGTACCCGTTTCGCAACTCCAGTTTGTCACATCCGTTTGCTTGGAGATATGATTGCCTCTCTGTATTCAGAGTACGCCCCCCCCCCCCCCCCCCCCCCCGTGAATTTATGTAAATGGTTATTTTCGACAAAGACCACTTAACCATTTAAACAACATCAACGAACTTCGATGGACCTCAAGCGAAAATTTGTATGAGTTAAATTTCACTCAACTGAAAGTCATATACAAAAATGGGCTTTTCCCGAGGAATTTAACAAAAGTACGTTCAGATAAAGACTTTGTTCAACTCGAGTTTGTTGAAGTGGTATTCCGCTGTAGAGAGTTCAATATCCGCGGCTAGTTACGTATAATAAATGCTTAACACATTCAAGTTAAATAAAATGAACAACTAGAACAATTCTAGGTGAAATGTCTTTGAAGATCTTTATTGCAGTTCTGGTAAACTTTCACTCCATGGATTTTTTACTCTAGGGCATAGTCGTTCTCCACATATGTGTGGGCGGGCGAATCTTCGGGGCACTCTTGCTTCGTGACGCAGTTCTTTGCCTCGTCGCGGTAGTAACCTGGAGAGAGGGTTGATTACACATTTGAGTTATTAAGCTCTGATCGACAAATGATGAAGAGCAAAAATGGAAAAGGCAATACCCCCCAGATAACACAATGTTTTTGAGTTTTATAACATCATCATATTGTCTGCTGTTATGAATCTTTACTACAGCTTAACGAAATCCAGAAGCGAGAAAAATACAGATCTTCTGTCACCTATGAATCTTCAAGATATACTGACGGAAAGTAGGCATGATACCAGCCAGTCACAACTTATCGCCTGTCGCCACATTGGCGTCGGTGTATATTGAAGATAAAATCTGTATATGTGACGGAATGCCTGTATTTTTCCTATGTCGGTCCTATGTAAAGCTGGAGTATATAATTTTAACCACTAATTCTCCCGTTTTTTGGGTCGTTCCCGCATTAGTTACCCTTCCTGTATTTTTGCGCTTTTAGATGTTTATTTCGGTGACTGACCATTCTGAAGGCGATAGCACATATAATGTTTTTGGGTCTAAACTTAGTATCAGCCCGTCGCAGCGATTCGCACCCCCAAAGGCATTGCGAGAAAGCAGACGCTCGAATTTTTTTTAGTTTAGAAAAATAAATATAAGAAACTACAGAGTATTTTAATTATTTTTTAGTTGCCACCAGTTTTTGGAAGGTCAAAGCGGCGTTTTATTTTAGGTTTAATTATACTTGGTTGGTGAAGATTCTGGATAAAGTATAGATAATGTACACATACCGCGTTGGCAAAAGCAGCCAGACACACAGTCGGCGGTACAGGCAGGTCCGACTCGTGGCCGTTCGCAGGTCGCTTCGGCACAGGAACTGCTCGTGCACGATTTGAAGATTTCGTTTTCGCCGCATCGGTGGGGGTGACTGGTAGGAATGTACAGTCCTCCTGCGAAAAAACATAGCGCACAAACTGATGAGGATTAGGAGTTATGAATGTTTGCAAGCAGCCACGCTTCTGAAGCTTGCCTGGCCGATGCGTGGGGAAAACGCTTTGATGGGGCACGAGTGCGGCAACCCAGGGCACGCCCTAGCAAGGTTAGGAGGCATAAACTACCGCCCGTTAACAAAGTGTATAGCAAGTAACATCCATCCATCCACGGAGACTCGACGACCAGAAAACCTGCACACACCGACGGCAATGCGTCGATCGAGCTGCGTCAAAAGTGCATGGTAACGGTACTTATAGCCTTCGTGCGCTTTGCTCTCAGCGCTTAAACCTATTAGGCACCGAAAGGAAGCACATAGTTCATGGGAACTCAATATGTGTAATCGGTTTAGCCGGGAATAGCTAATGCATAAAGACGAATAGCGCCGTGACGATGGGCTTTTGACGCTGCGTGACTGGCTCTATCGGATTGCAGCGTCGACTGCTCTTGAGCCGAAACAGAGCTTAATGAATTCCCCTGTCATTTGCTGTTTGGTGAAAAAAAAAGAAACGGAAAATTCCTGTTTTTTGTGCGCACCCTAACTCAACCTCAGCCGAGTAAATTCACCGTACCGTACGCCATCGGACCCACACTTCCGACAAGAGCAATGCGGGTTGCGAGTCGTCTGCTTTTTCTGCAGTGGTTGCGGCGACGTCAGAATGACGCCGACTTCTGAATGGGTACGATTTTAAGATACTGGGTAGACCTGAATGCAAGCTTCCTTGAGGTCCCACTATACCTCAAAGAGCCAATCAGAGCTCGACGTTCTGACGTCACTGTAACACCTGTTGAAGAAGCAGACGACTCGCTATCCGCATTGCTCTTGTCTGAAGTGTGGGTGCGATGGCGTACGGTACGGTGAAAAATGGAGGAAAAAGGTAGCAACGGCGCATTTTCCTCCCTGCTACTGATGCGCCCCCAAGTGGACACGAGAAGAAGGAAGAAACGAGACGTTTTTCTACTTCTCCAGGCAGACGGGAGAAATATTCCGCCCTCCCGACTCAACTTCTTTCGGTTTCGTTTTTCGAGCACGTCCCACAAGTTGTTTAAAAAAAGTTGTTGAGTTGATTGAGCTTCAGTGACAGCGAAGGCCGCCATTAATTCCGTCTCCCAGTATGAACGTGCAAAGCATTTAGGTTGCATTGACGTTTTTCCCACTAATTTTTTCAAACGAGCAAACGAAGCGGCTAGAAACAGCGAAGTTCTGGAGCAGTGCCAGCAGCGCTACGTGTTCACTGGGCTAAGATGGTCATTTCCGGATTGCGGAACCCACGTGGAACCATGTGAGCCAGGCGAAACGATTTGTCTGCACTGGTTGTGTCGACGGTGACGACGTTATGAAAATCGCGGAAACCGCGTCCAAGACAGGCAGGTTTTGCTGCCGGGTGCCTGGGTGCCTTCTGTGCTGTGTTCGGTTCTGTTTTCCGATGCCGAGTGCCAACTGGCAGTCAATGTGATTCTGTACTTTTGCGTGTCATCAACATTGCAGCAGCATCGCGATGGCAGTGTTGTGGGTTGTGAACATAACACGGGAATTATCACCGATGTGGCCGTGTGTTCGCGTTTCAGTTGTCTAAACACAAGATGAGCTGTCGGGCATTGATGTTACTGCTCTGGTCGTGATCGGAAGGGGCGGAGTGTCGCAGGTTGACATTCTGCTTTATATTAAAGAGTTTAAGACCACTTGAGGTATTAGGTGCGATCGATCGACGTGCGGATAGTCATGTTTGAACACTGGTCTGAATTGTAGCTTCCATTGTACAGTGGCCAATGTGACTGCCGGTTGTCTCCCCCTGAGAGCGATTGCTCCCTGGAGAAAGGACTGAACAGCATGAATATTTGACGGAAAGTATGTATATTTACAGCTTGAAATTTTAGCATAAAACTGCTAGGTAAAAATTGAAAACAAAGCTATCCTTTATTTTGCTGTTTAAATATGCTACGGTTCCTGGAGAAACTGCCCTCCAAGTTGCGCGCTGAGATGTGTGCTAGAAGGTTTCGAGCTCGCCGCGGCGTAGCTCCGTACACTTAACACCTGCTGCAAGTAGCGGCTTTGACTGCATTCAAGTTGATCGAAAAGCGAATTTTCTGACAGTGAAGCATCACTTCCAGCAGAGTGAATATCCGCTCTACAGAGATTAATTCAAGACGACAATTGCAGCCGTGCGCGAACAGCAGAAATAGAAAAGCAAACACCACAATAAAAATACTGGCTAAGACGTGCCGTGCGGGGAAACAGACGCATGGCTTGGAATCGAATTGGAGCGGCTTGACTAATTGGCTTTCAAATAATTACGGCATGAGCGTTTACTTTTTATTAAGAGATTCATCCCCTGAGCCGTTCACATACTCTCAGAGGTATGGCATTGCTTGAACATTCTGGGAATAGTTTCTATTGATTAGGAGGTCACCGAGAAATTCCGTACGTTCAAAACGACCAGTATAAAAGTCGGAAACGCAGATCTCGGAAGTGGTGATCGGGTTCGTGTGCTATTGTATTGTCGTTTTTTTTATGTACCGTGAATGTGTATGCGCTCAATGTTCAGATAGTGTTTGTAGTATGCGTGCTGTTTCTTAATATGAGCATAATAAGGGTTCTCGAAGATCCCGAAGCGAAATGGCGGCGGAAGCAAATAAAATATTTCTTGTAGACCATAAATACCTACGTACTTCCAATTACTCTGCTTGAACCTGCCATCTGGTGAAAAGCGATTTAAACTTCTTTCACGTTACGCGATTTCTGGTTACTGCGCAACAGCGGTTTCGAAGTTTCTCCCTTTGAGAGCGGCTTTTAGTTTCGCGAATTGCTTTATCATTCCTCCATGATGTGCCGTTGACGAAGGAATTGTGACTCGTGGAATAGCAAAGATAAGACGTGAAGTGCGCGCAGTGACTGGGTATCGGTGTATCTGTTTAACATGGCAGTGATGACTACGAGACGACTGAGTAACTGCTTTTGAAACGGAAGTCTCTTTGCCTGCGGGGGCAAGCTGGCTTCGGAAATAAACACAGTTCAAGGAAAGCTCGTGTTTCGCTCTGATTTGCTGCACCTCTCGTCTCGTACAAGAGACGTAGCGTCCTTGTTAAGCCTTATTGAGCTCGACTTGCTCAATCCGGGGCCGCCATAATGCGATGCAGGCGACGGAGGAACCTTTGCTCTCCTGTTTTAGGGACGAAAGTTTCTCGCTTTATGTAGGAACATAGGTTACAAGACCGTTCTTCCCTTTAGGAAGGCCTATAGCTACCCTTTTTTCTAAGAGACTAGACTTGTTTGCAATATGTCCAGCGCCGTCGGCGGTGCCAAAAGGAATGCCGGCAACCTCAACGTTACTGGATTTGCTCAGTTACGGAACTCCCCATAGACTCTGCTTGCACCAGCAGATCCCCCCCCCCCCCCCCCCCCCCCATTCCTTTTCCGTCACGGCTCACCTCCCGCCGTTCGGCGCGCTGCCGGTTTGTGGAGGACGGCTGCTATGGTAATGCTGCCTAGTCTATGGAATACGCATGTTTTGACGCACAGCGTCTAGATGGCACTTCACCTACCCGTTTTGAAAGGAAATTCTAGGTGGCGGGAGTTCCACAACTGACAACTGAGCTAATCTAGTAACGTTGGTTCAAATCGGGTGGTAGCTGACAATGGAGAGAGAGAGAGATGGCGTTGAAGAAAGGGGAAAACGTCGGTCATTACGCGCCTCTGCTGCGTCGTGCGACGATTGTGGAAACGCGGCCGAGCTGGCGAATGCTTGCGAGCAACTGCCGTATTAGACATGATTAAAATAGCGCAAACTTGACAAGGACAACAAAGCAGGCACACGTACAACAGAACTGGCGCTTAAGCGCCAGTTCTGTTGTACGTCTGTTGTACGCCTTTTTTGTTGTCCTTGTCAAGTTTGTGCTATTTTAATCATGTCTAGTAAGAACCAACTAGCCCAAACAAAAGTCGTTTCACAACTGCCGTATGTTTGCGAGCAACTGCACTACCCACCTCTCTCTTCATTGTGGCGTGGCAGATGCGAGGGCACAATGAGGGGGCCTACAGGAGTTTGCGCGAGTCTTGGGATTTTCGTGAAGTTTCTATTGGTGTCGAATTAAGTACGTTGTAGACCTTGCTGAACTTAACTATAGTGCACCACTCTTTGTTTGTTCGGTGTTTCTTTGGGAACGAATCTGCTTAGCGAAGTTGAACGCGGTGTGATTACACCAGGAGAAAGCATCTGAGTATTAAAACGCTACAAACAAAGGATGAACAAAAGTTTTAGAATAAGGGACCCAACATCTTGGGCACTCCGAGCAGCTTGGGGCCTCCCACAGGGTTTACGCAGAACTCCGTCTATGCGACGTGCGATGCCCCAAGCTATTCGATGGACCCAAAGCTTTGGGGAACATTTATTCTAATAATTCATAATCACTTGTACCGTTGGAAACAGTAAGAGGCTGAACACCTACTTTGGTTCTTGGTAGGTTCACGGCTCACATTTTCTCATTAATTTTCAATCTGTCAGGTGATACGTAGGTTAGGGCCCAAAACTGTGCATCTCTAATGTTCGCCGGGAAAACACATTGTTCAAAACGTTTTGCATAAGTACAAAAGCGTAGTCGTCTGTTCACTTTCATATCTTTCGCGATAGAACACAACCGAGAAAGTTAGAATAGATTCGTTTTACTGAAAGAGTATTGAAAAACGGCAAGTTTTATCCGCCACGCGTGCGCCCAGAAGCCCGCTTGACCACACTGATGGCTTTAAGGCCATACTATTCTTTGCAAGAGAACAAAAGTGAAATGGAGACTGCTCTCTGTTCGTACTAACTGTGGCGCGTTTGGGAATATTTTGTTTCAGCATACTAGGGTAACTTGCGAGAAGAATGCGCGGGGAGGAGCTTCAGTTGTTCAACCTCGAGCTCGAGCTTCCAACTTTCGACAACACATCGACCGTCTCGTCCACCTCAAGCTCGCGCGCGCTGCCAATGCACCGCGAAGGGCATTTTGTGCGTGCTTACCATCTCGGTGATAATGCCAGAAACTATTCGAAACGGAACAGATGCAGAAGAGTGTCGGCTGGAATGTCTAACAGGATACCTCCACGGTACTTTAAGAAGCATGGTCCATTGAACCTGAACCTGAAGTTGAATTGGTTTATTTGAGCACTATTGTGCTGAAGGCACCAGACAGAAAGCTTCCGCAAAGTAGCTTGACTTGGTCTGGTTCCCCTACACCTACAGAACACGGCAATAAAAACACTATACAATATAATTTTTCTGGTGAAAACACACGAGTACATCTTCTTTGTTTTGTTAAACAGTGAATATCAACGCGGTCTATAGTAAACCTGTTAAGCGAACGACGAAGGTTATTAGCAATTGATTGCAGTGCATAATTGGTACGAAAATGAGGCCCATTGCAGAACTCTCTGTGGCGGAGTTGGATAGAAGTTTCACGTTTTGTCAAGTGGGATAAATTACACAAAAGAAATACTCCCCGGTTGAAAATCAACAAGAAAATAGTGAACGGTACTTGTATACACAAGCGATTCTCATGACGTTGCAGTTAAAAAAAAAATTAGTGAATCGGTATGAGTGTCGTGACGCACTTTTGCCATAATACGCAGATTTTTTTTTTCGTTCTTTTTGGAGAACCAGAAGTTTGTTAACATAACATTAATTCGTTTTACCCATGCCAAATGACAATAGTTAATTTGTGAGTTAAACAGAGTGTGATACATTTGCATTTTAATATTTACAGTCCACAAAGAGCGACAGTACATATTACCCCAACCAATTCTGACAGTTTCGTATCTAAGTATCTCGTTATCATCCAATTGCATATGATCTAAAAAATTATACTTAACATTTTGTGCAGTTTGACTATTCCAGTATGGTCCGTATCAATGTTTAGACACTTGTCTGTCATTTAACATATATGTCAATTCCATTGTCGACGCCTCTTTCTATACGTTGGGTGTCATATCCAGAATTACACGGGAGCTTCCCATGTCGGCCTGTATTGTGCAGTTATACTTTTCATTAATTACGTCTAAGCTGGAGTTTTCCTGTGCTGTGTGGAATTCTATTGGGCGTACGCACCAAGAGTCGATTAAAAATGTCCAGAAACAGTCCGGTCGCACTGTTTACTTTGAATTTAGAAGACCTTTAGAACGAGCGATTCTTCGACTTTGAGGGCCAGACGACGGGACTGTGATCTCGTATTTTATTTTTTCAAATGCCTTCCCGGAGTCATTGCTTGCCCTGAACTAACTTCGGCGATAGATATTCATGTTCCGAGAAGATATTTGCGAATTTCTCTTCCATTTTATGTCGCTGAGCTCTTCCGAACCTGCCCCATGACACGCATTCAGACCTTGTATAATACTTTCGATGCTTCCTGCCGTGACGTTTTCAACCCATCTTTTGCAGCGTTCAAGTTGTGTCCTACAATTCTATTAATTGTAACCGGTATTTTGTAGCGTTCAAGTGTTCTTTCGTCAATCTATAGAATTAGTCTTCCTTTTTGCTGTGTGTTAATTGTGCATAATTACAAAGGCGAAAGCTGTTCATGAGCACAAAAGATGAACAAATGACTGACTGTTGAATAATTACTAGTGATGTGCTTATTTGCAGGTGTAAAAAGAAATCTATCTTCCCACTAGAATATATAAAACAATTTTCCCGTGCTCACGCACTGTAGTTTGCCACAAAAGCATGACCAGGTGATTCATCCGTTTCACAAAAAGAACGAAGTAGCAACCAGCCCCATTAAAAGTTGCGAAATAAAAACGGATCATTTCTACCACTCAGTACGCAGCTTGGCTTTTTCGAGAATAAAGGGAAAAAGTCGAGATTGTTTCAGCAATCCAGGCAATTTCTTTTACGAAACAAAAAGCAAAAGCAAAGTGCAAGGTTATTCGTCATTATTTTGTATCCTGGCTAAATTAAACAAGCCAAACGCCCACAATCTTTTTTTTAATGTTCGCACTAAAGGTTTTTTTTTTTTATGTGGGCCCATAGGAAAGTTATGATCCTTGTTCCGACTTTTAGTTTACTCCGGTTTGCTCTACAATATCTTCAACAAAACGTATGCATCAATTATAGGCATTTTGGGGCAAAATAACACATGACGGACCATAAAAAAAAACATGTTTTGAAATTCAATTAAAGAATGCTAGATCCATTTAACCCTCATTGATTTTCTGACAGAAAAAAATAATATTAGGATTACTTACCATCGTACTGTTCCGGGCGCGCAGAGGCCAGGGCCAAGTAGCTCAACAGAGCGACCACAACAATCTTCCACATGGTCGTAGTTTGTGGAAGGAGATAGTCAACGTCTGGAGACGAACTGCGTCCTATATTTATAAGGGCCCCCGAAGGGGCCTTTTTGAAAATGGCGAGCAGAAAAGAAAAAAAAAGAAAACCTGAAAGAGGGGTTAAAGTCTAACCCTGAACGCGGCACCACACTTACTTCCACGCGAACACACGCACAAACAGACACACAAAGAAAACCAAAACAGCGGTACTTGCAATTTTTTATCCCGATGTTGGCATGTGGTCAAGTTTGAAAACAGTGCTGCGAGAGCTTTATCAAAGTTACTTCAGAGGTGAGTATCGGCTGTTACCTCTTGAAGGGCCACTTTATTGTACGATTCAAGGTTTCGCTGGTCTGATAATCTTGAAAAGCCCACAGAGGGTTACTCAACACAACAGGCACTTGTGCGCCTGTCTAAAGCGGCTTCGTACTCAGGACTACGTTAATATTTTTTTCCAGTACCTAGGTTGTTTTATTGATTTTATGTAAAAGTAAGGAGGCCTGTGTATTGTGTAATAAAGAGTTGTATATTTCTTGTGCTCATCCCATATTAATGAAAGCAATGATAAATAGAGTCGCTAGTTTCGTATGCTTTTCGCCCAGATAAACCTCTCTAGCGCTTATCACCGACACACGAAGTGCCGAATCAGTGTGTTCTTGACACGTGCTCCGCGTGTGATGTTCCGAAAAAGAGCGCTACTTTGCATACCCAGAACCTCTTCACAGAGCCAAGAAGACAAAGATGGCTGTGCGCGGAAGGTGATTATTGGAAAGGTCGTCGAATAAGATTAAAAATATACCTTCAACTAAAAACGCTGGAACAAATAACGTATGGATGATTCAACAGACCAGTCATCATGCGTTGTCCAGAGTTTAAAACGTTAGACTTTTCTTGACAAAATGTTATTTAACTAGGCTACGCCACATGGCTAGCACAATTACAACATGAAAACTTGTTTCCCAATGATTTCCATATGGTAATTTCTATATGATTTATTGTAGATTCGATATGTATGCCGTACTAAGGATGAACGCCGAAGAAAATGGAAACGCATATTTCAATTACGTGTTTTAAGACGGGATGTAGAAAAAAGTTTTGGTTTATCTTTCTGCGGACTTAGATTTTTTAAGACGTTTATTGGAGTTTCTATTAAATATGAAATTAAAAAAAAAAGAGTTTGCATATACGGTACCATGTATTTCATTGGACTTCGGTTAAAGAATTTTTTTTTTGTACAAACTACGAATAGCATGTAAATAGGGTAGGTTCCGTATTGTGCGCCATGAAAGGAGCTATTAACTGAGATGCATAGCGTCTATAGTATTCAACCTTTTAATAATCTTATAACTCCTTTTGGCATCGCTGCTCTTTTTTTTTTAATTAAGAAAAAACATAACTTAGTCAGAACCTTATTAGGCAGTAAGAAAATAATTGAAGCAGTGAATTATAGTAAGATGTTTAGCCGTGCTGCGTTTTTCTGGGGTACCGAAATTTTATCCTACTTCGAGGCACTCACCTGGTGTTGCGGTTTGTCGTACGTATTTTTGCTCCGCCAGCATTCTGCCTCCAGCACAAACAAACAAATTTGAGCACCATCACATTTTTTTTTTCTTCTAAAACTGACTGATATAGTGGATTGACATGAGGGTGTGAGAGCTTCTTTCTAGAAGCCATAGGCTTATTTCAGGAACCAAAACAGTAACTATGTGAAACTAATTAAGGTCTTAATCATCCAAAACACGATGTACAATACCCTAAAAAAAATTTTTGTTGTATATCACCGCGGGGTCATCAACTGGCAGACCGGTCATTACCGTATCAGAAAACTGTGCGGCAACATAAGCTCGAGCAAACGTGCACGTACAGTAGACGTTCATGAGCGAGAGTCGTCCGCTCTACTTCGTTTTGCCTCAAGTCCCAGTGAGGTCATATCTAGACGAGGAACGATCGCATATACATCAACCATTGTTTACAAACAAGCCCGCGTTTGCCATGCGCCGAAATCAGATTCGCATAAGTCGGAACTTCTGCGCAGAAACCAGATGCGGACGAGGCAAAACTTCTGCGCGAAAACCATATTCGCAGGGGGTGAAACTTCCGCGCAGAAATCAGATTCTCACGAGGCGAAACTTCTGCGCAGAAACCAGATGCGCAGGGGGTGAAACTTCTGCGCAGAAACCACATTCGCGTGAGGCAAAACATCTGTGCAAGCGCAGTTTCCACAGCAGCGCCACCGCACTGGTGTGACGTCAAAGAGTTGAGTTGGTGTATGCACAAACTAAAATGCATAAAGTTACGCTTGATTAGATGAGCCAGAGGACGAGTACGCGCAGAAAGAGGGCAAACTCTCGGACGATGCGCTGTCAACACGGCTTCTTTGGCCCCTCCGCTCGTACGTACCATCGACGCGCTCGAACGTATCGGCCCGGCTGCTGACACCACAGAGCCCAATCGACCGGTAGCTCTTCCGAGAGATAAGGTGCAGGGGCTGTACGCAGTCAGCAGAAGCGCCTAGCAGACAATGATCGCACAAGAACGTGCTTTGCGCACACGAGCTTATTCTCACTGATGTCTCCGCACCGCACCGCTTTCGATTACAGGGCTGACCATCCCGCCTGTCGCCGCTAACACAAAAGTATTACAACAACTTCAAGAGCTATACTTCAATACATTGGGTTTTCGGTAGTGAAGAATACAGCAGTAATAATTTGTCTCAAAAACGCGCAGTGTTTGTTTTTTTCTTTTTTTGTTTGTTTGTTTTTGCGGGAGAAGTTTGAATAAATTTGGGTGACACCCGATAGGTCCTCGGCAGAATTTGATAAAATTCTCTTGGAATAGAATGAAGGCCGATTTCCGTGACGCGACTTTATTTTTCAAGTTCGCAGTTGCGACGTCGCTGTTGCGACAATAACGCGGAGTGGAAGCTGCGGTGTTCAAAAACGCTACTACGAATTCCCCAGCCAAATTTTGTTATGTTGATGAGCATGAATTCCCTACTCTATCCCTGCATTCGTTCGTTCACTTCTTCGTGACGTGCGTGACGTTTTCCTTTTCAAAGACGCGTTTTCTGGTTTCTATGCGTTCGTTAATGCGTTTACATTCATATTCCGACAAGAGGTAATACTTTTCAGTGTTGAATTTAATCTATGATATGCAAGAGATACACAATATTAAATAGTGTAAAAGAAAAAACTTTGAGAGGCGATGACCTTGGAGTGGCAATGATGGTGTCCATTCGTGGAGATAAAAACCTTCGATTGAATTCATGAATGAATTTATGGGTATCACAAGAAGCCAATAGTTCTCGATAATAATTAAGTTCCCGAAAACACGGCTGATAATTCTGTATAACTTAAAGCAGTGTATAGTGCCAGCCTGAAAGCCTAATAATCCAGTACATATCAAGGGTAATCCCGTCTTCGATTAGTACTGCCTTGATATTGGTTGAAGCAATCGTACACGCCAATGGGAGCAACAAATACTATACAAGAAACGTTTATTATTTTATAAAAAACATGACTACTTTTATTACGGTTTCAACAGACGTAGTATCCGGGTTGAAACCTATTATGAGTCAGTTACAAATGCAAGTTAGAAAAATATGGAATAGGTAATGATATTATTTATTAAGCTGTTTTTTTATAAAATTGTATTCATTACCAATATTTGAACGGCACAATATTAAGTATGAGGGCCAGGAAACACGTCGCGTTCATAAGCATAATTTTGATGGAATTGATTCAAGCCTAGGCCAAATTAGATACGTATGCAGATGTATTACGCATCGTTTCTAACCCAAATGAAAAGTCAACAAAGTAACAGATTGATTTAAAAAAAAGACAATGGCTACTACAACAAAGTACCCACCCGTCTGCTTCGTCGTAGTGTGGTTATGCTGGATATTCCGGTGTTTAAAGACAAGTTATTTTTCGCGAAATAATGAGATTGGTCACAGTTTTCAAGGGCACTTGTCCTTCTTGACACATTCTTTATTGGCATTCCTGAAGAAGTCTGGAGCGCAGTAACATCCATAGTTGCAGTCGTAGGTGCATCCGAGGGAAGGCTCCGGGTGTTCGCAGGTGAGTTCAGCGCATGAACTTCCGACGCATTCCTTCCAGGTTTCGCCTTCGGCGCACTTCTGTGGCTTTGGCGGCCACTCGATTCCTGCAGGAAGAGAAATAGTTTGAGGCCTCGCGTGGTCAAGACAAACTTCACTTTAAACTTTGTGAGCTCGAAGATGTTTCACGGCTCGCTCCCTCTATTCTCTAAATGATACCGTGCGTGTACTTCTCTTTTTGTGACCGTAACCTCCTTAGGCGTATCGTCATTGCGTCACAATACCAGCTTAAAATGAAATCACGTATCTTCACGTTTTTTTTATTCGCCCGCTTCCTTCCGTAACCGACTGTGAGTGGATCAAGTATGGCGTGACTTATTGCGCAGGCCTCGTGCATGAATACTTTGTGATTCAGCGAAAACATTCGAAAGTCGTCAAAAATAGTGTGGTTGACAAACGAAAATCTTTCAGGGAACAAAAAGTTGGCCACGGCATTTTGTTTCCGGGAAGATTTTGCCATCAGGAATTGCAAAACACTACTAACCTAGATTGGTAATTAACTACCATTCAATATGTAACTTTGTTTTTTTTTAATTTAGACAAGGACAAGTAGAAGAAATCATAAACATAGGTCTGACTTAAGAGTGTGTTTTCTTTCTCCTCTTTTTCAATATATGAAAGCACTGAAGTGCGGAAAAAAAAGAAAAATGCCAATTCTTAGCAGAAAACTTGTTTAGTCAGACATTCGAAAAATAGAAACCGAGTGTTATACAGTATCTAACAAATATAATAATTGTATGAACAAAACATATCCGGTCTACATAACCTCGATGTTTGCGCTATTACAGAAAACCACTGATGCAACTAATTTTGGAAACATTTAATGAGTCCGGTAAATGATTTTACGGCGCTAAAAACAAAAAAATGCATTTAATTATGGGCACGTTCGTCTCCCTTCTTGATTACAGGTGTGTGTGTGTGTGTGTGGGGGGGGGGGGGGCAGGAGCGTTCCTTTACCGATAGGAAACCCCAAGTCAAAAGTGGGCGTTTCTTCGGAACCCCATGAAATGCTGCACCTGCCCTACGTGTCTTTCTCATGTAAGTTTATTAATTGAATTTCGGCAATGGCCACAATGTTTCTAATTGGTAATATATGTTTATCTTCATTCGGAATTAAAAACAGCGCAAGTTGATGAGGGCAAGACGAAGAAGCAACACGGACGCAGCGCTGACTTACATCTTCATAACTAAAAAAATAATTTATGAGTAAGTGTCAATAATAAAAATAATCATTAGTAAGCTTTTATTTTATCCAAAACGTGTAACGTAGAAAGCATTTTGTTCCCGGAAAAAATTTTTTAAATCTTTTTTTTTTAATTCTTAATTACTCTGTTTTTTGGGATTTTTGAAAATCTTAGTTTAAAGACAGGGAATGTCAATATGTTGAAAAATAAGATATGGTATATCGGAATTAAATTCAGTAGAGATGCAACTTTATTGCTTGGGAGCATTGATTTTTCATGTGATAGGAATGTAGGAGTTTAAAAATTTTTGTCTTTATTTTTGACACACATTTATTCGTCGTAGATGTTGATTTCTTATGGGTCGCATCTTTGATCAATTCAGCATAGCTTGCCCTAAAATGTTATTCAAATAAAGTTTTACCATACTGAAGGTGCTTATTGCATGTGGTCTCCTACCTTTAGCCTATAATATAAGAAGAAAAAAACAAGAAAAAACATACGACTAAATATAGAAGATGATTGCATAACTTGCTCACCTCCAACTGTCCACCCTGTGATGAGTGTAACAACCTACTTAACGCTAAAAGAAAGTGCATGCTACACCAAACGCATTTTTTTTTGTTTTTTGTTCTGGGAACATGCTGCAATCTCCGTCATGTATAATGTTATACCTTTGTGGTGCTGCAGCCTTGGACTAGGTCAATTTGTCAAATGGTTACATACCTTGAAATGGAAATTTCCAATACTGCAATGAAGATTTCAGTCTAACAGAATATTGAAGTAATCATTTTCTCGTGATCCTGTCATTTGCAAAGAATATAGCACTAACTGCCGATGTCGCATCAGAAAACAAAGATCCAAATTTCAGTTTCTATACAATAATCGAGGCGATTCATCTTACTGCTTCACTCAGTTGGGCTTAAAATTTTCAATATTCGGCCCCGTGTGAGTTGTACTTTTCCCCGAAAACACGCTATGTGTTTTCTTTTCCGCCCAGTCTCAGCATTCCAGTCGAGAATGTTCAACCATCACCAGCTTCTTCGCGCCCTAACCGTCGGTTCACACAAGGTTGAATTTCATTTCGAAATCGTGAACCTGCACTTATAGAAAAAAAAATTACTGTTCTGTGGTCAGTTGCACCACACAATAGCCATGTGGATATCTTTTTTAATGCTTTTTTATTATCTTCGGTTTCTGCTTATCACAATGCTAACATTCAGATCGCGACGACACTGAGTCGTCGCGAAGCAAAACTAATATGACATTCTTCAAATACAAAAAAAAAACGAACAAAAAACAACAACACTGAATTCCATTTACAGTTGTAGATTTTGAAGAAGTTCCACGGAAACCGTCAGCGCCTCTTACAGTTAGGTCAAGAAAGGTGAACAGGCACATATGTATTGTTGAAGCCGAACAATAAATATAAGACATAGCATCTATTTCACTTCTTTGTGAATAAGCAATATACCAGTATAACAAAAAGCTTTTTATGCGCTCTTGCGATCTAAGGCAGAGCAACATAAATGAGGCTGATTAACAAGTACAGACGATTCTAGACACCATGCATCCATGACAAATAATTAAGCCAATTGTCGGTTGCGGACGGAAATGCTAATATGCTCTTAAAATCGCCCGTGTGCCGACTTTCTCTCAGAGCACCAGAAGAGCCAGTCTCTGCACTCTACGAAGAAATCCCAGCGTATAGCAATACAGAATATAGAAATTAAAACATAAAAATAAAATCTGAGATATGACACTCAGAACCATAGTTTCAGGCGCTCACTTTAACGCTCAATAACACATCATAAATTTTAGTTTCCGTATGAACATACTTTTGGCGTTTGACGCTCACCGAGCCTCCTCTGTGGCTCTCAGTCGAAATCATCGACTCTCGAAGTGGTCTGAGGTAAACTGGACGCAGGGGCATTTTTAAGAGACTGTATACAATGAGGTTTGTTCAATGGAAATAAAGAACACACCTGTGTTGGCTGCGCGCACAACTGCGACAGCAAGCGTGAGCAGAAGGGCTTGTAGCACGTAGGTTTTCATGGTGGTCCCTTGTGATACGCAGTCCCAATCGTTTTGTCTTTGCGAGCCAGCGAAAACCAGCTCTTTATATCGACAACGGCGGGACGCGCTAGGAGGAAGTTCGACGTGTTATGGTGTATGCGGTGTGCCTAGATTTCAGAGGGTTTTCAACCGCTCGATCGAGCGTCGCTCACGCTATTTAGGGGCCGAATTTGTAATACGAGCTCCTGGGAGGTGACGAAACTGCTCATCGTCTGCAAGTGTATGAGTCCGCATTCCTTCTCGCTTCGCCACAAGGCAATGCATGCGCACGTGCAACCAATCGGCCCAGTGGGGCGTCCGCATTAAATTGAAAGGCGCTCTCTATTTTTGGAGTTGCTCCTTTTTTGAAATCTAGGCTCTCTGATGGTTTCTTTTCCGAACGTGTTGACAAAATTGCGCAAGGCCGCACATTACACGTTTTGTACCGGACGTCTGCGCCTCAAGGACGGGTTTCTATAATAAGTTACGTTGCTCGAGGCAAAACTTGTGGTTGTGCAATAGTGGCGATGGAGGCCTTCTTTCCGTTTATACGCGAACTCGGAAAAAGATTAATAAATATATAACTATCAATACATATATTTTACTAGATTTGGACGTGCCAAATTCATCACATTTTCGCTTTATGTATCGATTTTATGTAACAATTTTACTATAGAAAAATTTTAAAAGTCTCGAGTTTCATGAAGAAAGCTGCTAGTGTATCTAGACGTGCCACGAGCGCTCGCCTCTCCTAGAAAGATTAGACGTAAATGAATAATACTAAATGATAACCAATACACCTAGAAGGCGTCATTTTTTAAGCGATTGTTGACAGAAGTGCTGTTGTGGACACCAGCACCTAGAGCGTGTGGAAATACTAACGCTGCATTTTTCTTGGAGCTTAGTAATTTTCAAATGGTCATTTGAGCAGCCGTGGCGTCAGACCGAATAAAACGGGTATTAAATGAAGAAGTAGTTTTATATCGCTTAGATTGTTTTGGATGAGATTTAAGGCAGTGAACGCAAACATATGGTACTTAAGAAGCTGTTGGATATTATATTATTGCAATACTCCATAGAAATCCCAAGCATGAGGTGTTGAATAAAAAACGCTAGATGACTAGTTGGATCTGCACGCTTTCGAGAAACCATTGGTTACCTGTCCTGTAGCGAAGGCCCGTAACGGGTCAATGATCTTATAGTTAAAGGGCACGGGCAAGGCTTGAAATTATGAAGGTGGGAAATACTTTGACTCGGATTTCTGCTTCGATATTACCGAAAGCACAGTGATGATGTGATAAAACCACTTTTTCACCACGGGCCGGTTGTCCAACGTGGGCTGTGAAAAGTGAGTCCGTTTCTTCAAGTCTTGACGAAGCTCATTAAGCTCTGCGTTAACGGTGCGTGCTCCGAGGGTAAACTTTGTGGTGATAGGAAGGTGTTTGATAGTATGAACTGTAACCAATCTTTACCACCCCAAGTAAAAAAAAAAAAAAATTAGTAGAAGATTCATCGGTAGGTCCTTGGGGAATGCGTTAGAATGACCCCTGGTAAATGCCACATACAACCCCTTTAGGGAAACGCTAAGGCTGACCGCTTCACTTTTCGGTTTTGTCCTCATCTGCTTCCTCTATATTTTGCTGCCACCTCTTGGATGCGTTACAGAGTTAGTGTTAGCGTTTCCCAAAGGGGGACGTGTGTGTCGTTTTGGAAGGGTTATGCTAACGTATTCCCTAAAAATTCACCAATGGATCTTACTGTAATATTTTTCAGCTTATGTCGCACGCAGACCCGCCTCCGCGTGCCGTTTCTTGTGCAGCATTCGGCCAGTGGAGCCAGGCGCTGCTTCCGCTCCTTTGTCTCGTTCGCCCGCCTTGCACACTTGGCAGCGGCAAACGCTGCCTGGTGCTGCTGCAAGTTCAGACTCGCACCAGCATCCGCCCGCCCATTGACATCCACCCCGCGACGTCGTCTCCTTCGCGCCTTTGACCTTTACTACTCTGCTCTCCTCTGCACGGCGCGCGCTCCTTTCCACTGTTTCGTCCGCAAATGAACGACGTCAACTTTTCCCTGTCATGTGGGTACTACTGCTAACACATTCATAACATAACCGGGACCATCTCTGAGGTTGTGAGACTGCTGCGATAGCTCTCCCGGGTCCTGAATCCTCGAGCTGTTCTGCTCGAGCTCGTGGGTTTGTAACGCCCGGGCTGCTCATGCCGCACGGTAATTCGTCATGACCTTGTCTTTCCACCGCTTGGAGGCTACGAACATTCTCCTAAAATTTCCTGTTATGAATCTAATGTGTGCAATTAATCACAACCAGATAGAAACTAAAAAAAACGAGTGTGCAATTTATTTTAAAATGACCGAAAACGCTATTTGAATTTTATGAACATTTGGTACTTTCTGTTTCGATGACCACAACGCGGACACACTCTAAAGAAATTTCGAATCTTCATGCGCATTGTTAGTCCATCACAAGGACACAACACATTTTAAAGAGCTATAGCATCTTCGTTGGCAATAGTAGTCCGTGGTGGGCCCCATATCACGGACTAAGTTTGTGCATGAGGACACGACCTTGAAAGGTCAGAAATCGTGTAAACGTTGTCAAACAAGTTCACATTTTAGATATATTTATTTAAAACTTTTTTTTTACTAAAATACAGTGAATCTGCTGGCGAGTTGGTTGAAGTTTGTCATGACGATTTTAACCAGCGATTGACTAAACCCTTATCAATTTACGTTTATCAAGATTAAATAAGGTTTATCACGATGAACTTAACCCAATATTGCCACAGTCTTAGGTTGAATTCATCATACACATTTTTGTATATTTACTAATAATTGAACTATATCAGTTTATTCCTGCGCTATTTTAGGAGAGCAGTAAAATCGTACAATAAATACTTTTATGAATTAAGCGTCAGCTTCACGAGCATTGCGCGGTCAGCCATGATCAGTTTTGAAAACGTGCATAATATCCCAGAGGATTACATGGAGGTATGGCACTCACGCTGAATAGGTTTTGTCTTATTGTATGTTGGCCGTTTATTTTGTTTATTAGCCTACGCTTCTTGGGTTTCACGAATCAATTAGTGTTAATATTCTTCTAATCTTTGCTTAGTTTAACGCGCCATCTGGCAGACAGAGTCAAACGACCCAAAGAGTATAGGATGGAGTATATTAGAATAGAATAAAAATATATATTGGAATAGAATATAGAGTATTCACGTGAAATATTTTATTCAAATTTGCTGACCTACACTTACTTTCACAAGTGCTACCACAAGCAGAAGCTGCTTATGGTAGCGCTCAGTTAGACAGTGGGATTTTTCAACGTGCGTAATTAAATGACAAAAAGTCCATTGTCGCTTATATATTCCGTCAGGTGAGCGAAACTGCAACATTTATATATGCAATTTACAATCGCACATTTTCCCTTAAGATGTGCGTGTTGAGTCACGCACATTCAATTACAATATTGATGCAATATACGAATATAGGGGGTAACATCCTGGTCAAGCTGCGCTACTGCAGCATTTGTATTCCGTCCTTAGGCCCCATTGTATACTATGGAATTAAAATTAAGTGATTTGAAAAGTGTTTTGATACTTTTCCATTTAAAAAATATTATTTTAATGTCTCCCAAACCCTGTAAGGTATTTACTTAGCTTGCGCGGAGAAATAAAAACAAGTCAAAGTAATCTCAACTTTATTCTCGTTGCAATCACACTTGCACGTGGCAAATATATCGTACACACTGGAAAACAAAAAAAAATTGACATGTCTTTATTGGGGAGGCAATATATTTTATTGATCGGTTTAACTAAGGTAACCACTGGTCCCCCACAACGCGTGCGAATATTACAGTAATGGCAATTTTATAATACCGGTGATCGAACACAAAGTTTGATGATTTTATGCTCCATAGATGGTCTGCTTAGTGGGTTCAAGCAGAGCGACGTTGTCCATGGTTACTGCATTTCTACTGAGGACTTACGTTAGGCCCAAAGAGGTTTAAATTTTGACAACTAGGCACTCATCAGAAACGGGTTTAAAATTTGCAATTGTCTGAGTAAAACCCTCGCTTGATACTGTCACTGCAAGAGCACTGGAAACTTGTTGCACCCTCAATGTACACTCATTTGTCTCCATGTTCAGCCTCCACAAACGTGTACGCTGCCGAATCTTCTGGGCACTGCAACTTTGTGACGCAGCGTCGCTCGGCGTTGCGGTAGAAACCTTGAGAAATTAAGAAAAAAAAGCATTTCGCTTTATGGAAACTCGTACATGAACTATTAAGAAGACATCTTGATTAGTAGCTCTGCAGGTTGCACGCCAGGGAAATACCTAGCTTAGAACCAGCTTCCCAATCTTTAGTGCCAAACTTTGGCCGAGCGCGGTTTTGCTCCAAGGCGTTAGTTAGTGCTAGAGTTTTTTTTTTCCTAGGTGTTTCTGATTTTTCTCTGGCTCGCCCCATAATTTCAAAAGTACCGGACTTGAACCAAAGATATCACACATAAACCAAGAAAGTAGCAATGACGCCTAAATCTGGTATTTGATTGTAAATTTATGCTTAAAGTTGCCACATAAAAGAAGAACCAGCAAGCAGGAAAGCCTAACCCTGGCAGTTGTTTGGGAAATTAGGGCCAAGATACCCACTACCTACACTCTGGCCAAAGAAAGTCAAGTTTGGCCCTTCCTTTGATTCTTCGGGCTTTCCCAGGCACCAAATTTCCACACAAAACTAAATACCGATTCAAAGAACTGCGCTACCTCAGAGTTAAGGTTACTCATCTTCACAATATTAAATCGGGACTCCAAGTAGAACGCAGAAGATGCTGAGAAATGAGCGCATCGGGTAGGTATAATAAACATGCTACTACAACTCGTGCCACCTGGAGAACATAGCATGAACTAGTGAAATCAGTATCTGTTTTATGATGCGCTCTTTGAGTTACGAATATGTGTTGCGCGCATAAACTATGCCTAATATGTATTGATGTTTCCTTCTTTCTTTCTTTACAATACACCTATTTAAACAATCGACTTGAAGCAACAAGGATTGGGCCATAAAGCTTTAGGATTGAGTAAACATAAGTGAATCTGTGGTTCATATGTCTACTATATTATAGTTAAGAAAATTCAAATAAATATGTTTGCTCACCTCGAAAAAAAACACCTTAATAGTTGTTATTTAATAGCTCGAGTTGCGAAAAGATGCCGGGATGCTATGTAGTTACAAACGGGCATAAATATATGTGCGCCCCCTCAGGTATCGCAAGGTGGGTAAAAACATGATTAGAATATTGAAAACATACATTACTGCGATTTTCAAGTTTTCTTTTTGCGTGTGTCGATGAAGCGTGCAATTGGACTTGACTGTTTCCTTAAGAAGAATGTTTAAACATGGCATTAAATTCTCCTTCAAGGTTTTGCTCTGTTTATTTTGAAGTTTTGATTTTCTTTTCAATTTCTACACAGATGTGATGCAGGTAGACAGTAAACAATTATGAAAGCTAATACCAAAAACATATAAAAATCAGTTAAAGTTAAGTAAAATGCTCAGACTTGATGGAAGGATTGGTATACACTAAGGAGTTGTTGACGCATTTTTCATGATTTTGTATTAAAGTATTTTATGCGCAAGTTATTTTACAGCCACAAAATATGCTACCATTCGAAGTGATCACTTCAGTCACCTTTTTGTGTAAAATTATTGTTGCCAGTTGAGTGAAGCTGCATATACAATAACAGGACACACTTTAAAGTCCTCAAGAAATATTAAAACACACCGCGATGAGCCAGACGTTAATATCTGAAGCCGCGTTTGCTTGAATGCGACCTAGTCGCATCGAATCCAGTTGTCGCGTTAAATGCGGTCATGTAAACGGCATAATGCGCAAAGAAAGCGCATCGCATTCAAGCCGCCAGACCGAGGTGGATCGAGATGGCGAGTGCGCATTCATTCAGCCCATGTAAACGGAGGTCGGATCGCATTTTGGAACGGGGAGGATTTTGGGAAGGCGCTCGCTGCGGGAGCAAGTGAACAGCTGAGAACATGGCGGCGGCAAGCCTCGTCGGCGGCGCCGAGAGCGGTCCCGTATGGTCGCCCGCAATTTTTTCCCGGGAACAAACGCGAGCTTTTATTGCCATCATAAGTAAGCAGAATATAGTGGAGCTGCTCGGTGAGGGCGGCCCCCGTACAAGCCTTGCGAAGTACGACTTGCGCGTCCAAAGGGGTCCCAAAAGCTTCAGCGCAAGCACGAACGACACCGAGAGCTCCGAGCACTGTAGAGCACTGCATTGTAGGGCAGAACGAGCAGCTCCTACCTCGGTGCCGTTCCTGGCTGCGCTGGAGCTTTTCGGACTCGTGCTCGGGGCTGGAGCCTTTCGGACTCGGGAGCATTTCGGACTCGGTCACGATCGGCGACGTCTGGCGTGGAGAAGCGCGGAGGCTTCCTCAAAGCGTGCGCACACAGGTTGCCTCTGGTCCAGAATGACCCGGCGGCCCGGCCTGGATCTTGCTGGAGCCCTAAACGCTTGGGTTTTTATGTTTGTTCCGCCTCGTAACTTCTTCCGCAGCACCGAAGACAGCAGGCACGATCTTTACGTTCACCGACTGTGTCACTGTGGCCTCAATGTGCGATGCACCGGAAAACGTGGTGCGGCTGGTTCCGGAAGTGCATAACTTCAAACTTTGACACGGTGTGGCGCCACTTTCGTGTAGGGCTTGGTGCGCATTCATGGAAACGTTGCCGCGTCGGCTTCGTTCGAAGAACGAGTGGAGTCGATGCGATGAAGCCGCTTTCTTTCATGTAAACGAGGCTTGAGACCTTATTTGCATTTTAGGACGTCGCATTTTCGACTTCTAACTGCCGCCAATAGACCCTTTCCGAAATTCAGTGCCATCTGGTGGCTGAAATGGCGGTTTAACTTTTGCCATACGAATGACGGCAATCAACCCGTAGCCTGCAGTATTTTATCGGGCACCGTCACTTTTGCATGTCAACGGCAGATGAGAATAAACTTTTAGCTATACAGGTTTTTCTGGATCATCTCTTCCAGTGTCGATTCCCACAACGATGCAACAAAGCGCCAACCCAGACAGACGTCTTGATAAAGTTATATAAGTCAAGGGGTTTCGAAGTCGATTTTGTGCCACTAACAGGTTCACTGGGCTCGAATTAGAGAAATGAACACTTACGCAGCGCTTGCATTGAATTCCGGTTTCGCAACATGCTAACGTCTTGAATGTATAGGCCTCGAATCCTCAGCTTAGGAGTATCTTCAACATGTTCCTTCATCAGTAAATAGAAAGCCGCCATTGGTATGGCGCATATGCCATTTTTCAGATGATGATGATAGTGATCAAAGTGGCCAGACTGAATTTCGGAAAGGGTCTATTGCGTCCGTTCTCCTGCAGGCATCAAAATGGCGGCTTCCTGAAGGCAACTGGGAAAAAGAGCGTGAATACTCTTAGCGTCACTTGTTTGGAGTCTCTAGCTTTACCAGTGGTGTTGCACAGGTGGTATAGGATTTTGGACCAATATTTAGCTTTTCTTTTGAGAATTTTAGGGCTTCAAAAAGACAGAACTGAAGGTGGAACCAAGTTTGACATCCTTTGGTCAGAATGTGGGTATCATATGGCCCTAATTGGCCAAACGAGTGCCAGTGCTATGCTTTACTTCTGGTTGGTAGCTTGGTTGTCATTCGGCTACAAATTTGGGCCTAAATTGCTAAAGAGTCGGATTTAGATTTCACTAGTGATTTTTTAGTTTATACATGACATATTTTGGCTTAAAGTGACTTTAGTAATAAAGGGTCGAGCCAGAGAAAGGCAATTTAAACACAGTAAATTATTGCCACCCATTTATACCTTGAAGTCAAACCGTATTAGGACCAAGCTAGGTCTCTAGGCATGCCAAGGTTGGACAGAGTTACTCTTAATTGTTTGGCGTGCTACCCGAGTGATGAGTTTTTAAAAGGAGGGGCAGAACCTGTCACATACGATTTTCACAAAAGCATCCACGCCGGCAGTCTTCGGTGCAGGCAGGTCCGATGCGTGGACGGTCACAGGTGGCTTCGGCACAAGAACTGCTTACGCATGTTTTGTATACTTCGTGGTCGGCGCATTGAGGCTCAGAAACTATTCGAGCAAAACAGAATGGACACATTGATAAGTATGACCGAGTGTATATTAGAAATATTCTGTATGACGAAAGTAAATTGTGGTTGTCATTAGATGGGCTGGCTTAATCTTGACCACTTAAGCTAACTGTAACGCTGGCAAACGCGGCTGCTTCCTAGACATAATTGAAAACAAGTAAGTGGAAAACCTTACCGCACGCAACGTAAGAACTTGACTGTTTCTTTGTCGCTCAGTACTAAACGCATCTGTGAAAATGTATTACGTTTGGAGTAGAAATACGATTGCATATAAACCTTCCTAAGATCTAGGACTACTTCTAAGTTGCGCGACACGTTTAGCAGAAAAAGAAAACCTTCTTAGGGCACACTAGCAAATTAGATGGAGCTTACTGTGTGTACGATACATCGCACTAAACATTTGAGCGCGCGTTATTAACTGTATATAATCTGATGAAAGTGCCGAGATATCGTTCGCGCTTACAAAGTAGGGCACATTCTGTGTACCAACATAATTATGTATTCTTTGAAAGAGTAAAATTGAAGTAGGCTTCATAAAAGCCGAACAGCCTATCAACATTGCTTCCAGAAATGGTCGTGCAAGACAAGAGGTATCGCGAGAAAACGTTTAGCCTACCTGTGTCCTCTGGACGTGCAGAAATCAGTATCAGCTGCCCCACCAGTGCAATCAGAAGAAACTTCCACATGGCCGTAATTTGCGAAGGCGCAGTCAACGAATCAAAACCCACTGCTCTCTCGATGCTCTATAAACGTAGCACAAGTGCAACTTTTTAAATGATTAACTACAAGACGAGGTAAAGAAACGCAACGTCGAAATTAGAACTTGTTTTTTGGTGTCCTCAGCCAGACAAGCCTGAAGATACCGCGTTGCGTTCGCCAAGAAAACGTTTTGGCAGTTGGTAACAGGAGACTCCGTAGGAGACCCAGTCCTGAGTTGTTTATAAAAGTCCAAGGTTATCTCAAGACTTCGTTTTTTTTTTTTTTACGTCCAGTTTATCTGGCAATTCGGGGTCTTGGTGGTAAAGACTGAAGGCGGCTGCCCGAGTGAGAAACTTTAAGTGAAAGGGCAAAGCACGCGACACTTGTGTCATGTAGGAGTGGTTTGTTTTACGCACACTTTGCGATACTGTTAGTGCGAAAGAGCCACGTCGTTGTTTTTTTCTACCAGTATTGAAGGATTTTCATCAAAACTTATTTAATTGTGGAGAGTGGTCAGTTGGGGCACATCCTTAAAGGAAATTTTTTATTGCTACTTGCACCCTTTGGAAGTGAAATGGAAAAAGAAACGACGTTATCGTGATTGGGCTCATAGTGTCCCGCAGTGAACATTGCTTTTAAACTTTGAATGGGTTGCTGGAACTGTAAGTTTTGACGTTTAGGGAAGTATGTTGGTGAATAGCATTCTTCTTAAGCTCTAGACAAGATTCATGTTAATGTACTCTTTAAACAATTAAGAACTAGTTTTAGAGAGGTTTCAACACAGCCAAGTCTACAATTTGCAAATGTTTTTTTTTTCCTTAAATGTATACTTCTTCTCGCTAATATGCTAGAAAAAGCAGAAATGTGAGGCGCACGTTGTTATAGTTGTGCGTTCTTCAATTTAATCTACAGGACCTGATAATGGGGTGAAGATGGGAACCGGAATGCGGGTGTTTTACCTCCGCAGACTGCCAATATGTGTGTGAGAAACAAAGACGTGTGGGATTAGATTAAAACACAAAAAAACATTGAAGAGCGATGCATGCGAGTCATGCTGATTTAAACAACATACTTGCCGTCTATGCAAGTGTGGGAGAAGATTTAGTACGCCAAAGACTGCCACTACAATGAGAGGTATGTATTCCGGATCAGAGATTTTGAGGGATGTTTCCAGACAGGCGTCATCCGGATGTGTACATTCCCAACACGTCGATAGACAGGCGAAGCCATATGGTCTTCAGTTATCCTTGGCATTCAGGGCTGAACTGAGGTTTTACCTCCAACTGCTGGACATACCAAAGCATTAACTAGAGACGTTGTGTACACAACGTGTCTTCAACTTCGTGGAAAGTTATTATTCAGCTCTTGACAGCTATATTTATCTTTATCTGACATTCTGTAATTTAAATCTATCCTTCACATAGTTATGCTCCACCCGCCACAGTTAAAGCCAGATCACGACAGATTAAGGCGGTATTTCGGCGACAGAACAACCACGTCACATTAAGTCTATTCTTACCTTTCTGTGGCACTGTCGCTAAACGGAGCCTACAGACACTCAACACGTCAACTAAACGTCGGTTCTAAGTTCGATCCTCTCAAATCTTAAACATGCTACGCACGAGTCACCTCGAAGGTTGTAAATACTTTGAGCCTCTTGTATAGTCGATGATAAGTCGAGAGTTCAGAAAAAGCTCCTCCCAGCTATTCAGCTTTAGCACAGGGGAAGCTAGAGAGGAGGCGACGTCCTCTCCAACCTTCGCTTTGCTATAGCGGAAAAAGAAAGAATGAACTTCCCCTGAACTCTTAACCCATCAAACACTAATTGTGGGGGCGAGAGGATAGAGACGTTTGTCCCAATTTGATACACCTACGCCGAAGACAAAAAATAGAACACGGATGGTTGCCCATTGCCAAGATCATATGGACGCATGATTTCAAGACAAAACTTGAATGGTCTAGTCGAAATGCTGTGCGGCATGTATACATATGAAGTCTACGCATATTTTTTTAATTGTTTCGAAATAGTGTAAAAAAGTGATGAAATTTCCCTCTAGCTCTGTTTTTGAAGTTTCATTATATGTGGCAAGTGTAATTATATTATACTTACGAGTCAGCTGGGAGATAGAATAAAGAGGACACGCTCTTAAATCATAAAGTGTTTATATGTACAGTAAGCTACACAACATTAACGCTTGAGCTGAGCGCTCGGCAGCCTTCTCTGTTGAAGTGAGCCTTAGTGCCCGTGACTGTAGGTTAGGTCTAAAACAGTTGCCCATAGGTATGCAGTGTCCAAGTCAGAAGCTCCGGACGTATATCTGATGTGTGCGGGCGACGTCTGGAAGCTCATGTCCCATCGTGTAGTTAACCTCTCTATCGTTCTCTCTCTATGTATGTATGTAGATATATACATATGTACACAGTTTTTTTTTAAGCTTAACAAAATTGTTTTCATAAATTCGTGAAAGTTACACCTATTCGGTTTGTGCAGATGAGCTTTACGGTCTGGAGGACAGAGTATAGGGGCTAATTGTAACAATAACTCAGCTAATTAACTAAGATTTTTTAATTAACTTTTGAATTAATGAAATTAGACATATGGTTCCTAATAAAAACTTGCGCAGCGTCATCGAAAACCACTAAGTCAACTCTTTTTAGAAGGATATAACGCAGGGGCAGTATATTGCGGAATTCCGTAAAAGCACAGAATTTAGACGAGTTCCTAGGTTTCGCTCTCTTATCGGACAGCATCTTTGCGCCTGCGGCTCTGCCCCCCAATAGTCACGGCGCTAAGCCGTGACTACTGGGGGGCAGAGCCGCCCAGTAGTCATGGCTTTTTAACTTTTTAACTTTTTAAGACTCGTCAGTACACATCATAATTTGACCAACCATTGGGAATCACAAATGATTGTTGCTGGTGGATTGCTATAAAAAAAGTAAAACTTGAATATTGTATTTGTGTAAAAACTACACCCTCACAGTGTCGTATTCTATTGACATCTTAGCATGAAGGAAAGTCGTCTAGTAGTCTCTTACTTCGTTTTGTTATCTGTGTTGCATACGGTTAAAGTTCAGTCTCCGCTTTTCAAAATAGGCGTGAGTTTCTATGACATTTCAGTATTTCAAATTATACAAGCCTAATTGCTCATTGAAAATAAACTATGAATTTTTTTCAATGTGCCCCTTATTTCAGTTCTAACAAATTAAACTTGTATAAACTTGACAAAAATTTAAAATCACGATGTGTAACATTTAATAAATAATAGGGTCGTGGGGTTTATGAATTATTCGCATTTTTTTACGAAGACATCTAGATGGAATAAAACCAACTAAATTATTGATTGTGTTATAAAGGTGATATAAATTAATAAAATATGTTTAGCAAATTTTGTTCAATAAAAAATTATAGGTATCTCGGCGTTCTTTCGCGGCAGTCGTACCATTAGTGAAGTCCACATTGTTTAAAAAGCTTAAGTTTCATAAACTATAACTAGAAAAAAGCAACTGTGTACCTTCTTGACCGATCGGTGGTGTAACACACAAATATCTGCCCAGTATTTACTTGAATTGTTTTTTCAGAAACAAGAATTAAACAAGTCGGTGCACCTCTCTGCCGTGTTTATATTATTCAATTTATGTGTCAGATGTACGAATAAATAAATTAGGGGCACTGCAGTCGCCTCATGTAAGAGTAGATGTCACTACACATTAGGATAACCTTTTAACTGTTTTTGTCTTCAATAACTCAACCTCTTTAGATACTCTTGAGGCGTTTCTATTTAGGTGTCGTGGCGTCAATTTTTCCGACCGAATTGGTGCATAGAGCATGTGGTGTCAGGACACCCGACGTCGATTTACTGGTTAACATTAGGTTTCAAACCCACGGACGGGCAAACTTCAGGATGGATTTCATTAAAAAATACTGCATTGTCAAAAAAACTGGCACTACTTCGTTCGTCGGTTTCTAATTGAAACAAAAACTGCGTTCACAGGGACGGAACAGTAGCTTGTGAAGTATACTATAGAGCAGGGTCTCCAAACGTTCAGCCCAAGGGGTCGGATTGGGGATCTGTCGCCGTATCGACGGCTGGAAAATAAATAATAAATATCAGTTAGGAAACACTAAATAAAAGAAAGAAAAAAAACACGTCTAGATAAGCGTTTAAACGCAAAGAAGGCTAAAGTAAAACTTAAGAAAAAATCAATATACTGGATGAATACATGTTCTTTATTGGGAAATTAAATAATGAAGCTAATTATGACATCGCACAATAATTGGAACCCGTAAAACGCGCAAAACATAAAGCAAAGCGTAATAACACTTTGGCTTAATGAAATAGGACAGCCGACTAGCGAAAATGGCAGAACTGATGTTAATAATTGTCAAGAGGTAAAACACAGGAGACTAAGCACAGTATACCAAGAATCTAAATTAATTTTCACATGGCTAGGTAGATATTAAAACTTGGCAAAGAATGATTATGTTGGTAATGACAATATCGAATTATTAATAAGGCGAGAGGACCCGCGTTATCAAATGCAGTTTTACCTCGTTCTTTCCGGCATCTTAGCGCTGTCGGTGTGGCTGGCGGCACCATTTGTCTACGCGCGCTAGTTGTCGCCCCGGTACCAGCGGGCCTGCTAGAAGTGGGCTGCGGTCTGGGCTTTGATGGAAGGACCACCGCAGGTCACGGGCCGGTCAGAATACCTCCACCGGCCGGATTTGGCCCGCGGTTCGGAGTTTCAAGACCCGTGCTTTAAAAATGTGTGCTTTTGTTTCAAACATTTAGAAGGGCAAGCATGTTGTCGAGTTCGACTATTGAGGCGAAAGAGGTGAAGATAGTAGTTCGTGTAGGAGCCTTCGTATTATAACGTCGAACAAGGTGCGTCCCGTCTGAGTGCCCGCCCCGGGCCCGGCCCGCACCCGAGGACAAACCTGGTACCCGGCCCGGGCCCGTGGAGGGCTTTAGTTCAACGCACCGAGAAACTATAAAGAGCGAAAATAATGTCGGCACTCTTACAAAGCAAGGTCTTTGTGCAGAAAAATAAAATCGACTACATCTCTAAATACTAGAGTGAAATGTCCTAAATAGCAATTTATATAAAACAAAACAAAATTTGGAGGACGCTGTAGCTTTTAAGAGTGCCACGCGATAGTGTTATCGGGC